TGGGGGGGGGGGGGGGGATGACTGAAGTCATAGATAATACCTGAAGAGTAGCTGTGATATATCTCAGGTGTGACAGGAAGCCTTAATCATTTCATATGCTTGAGCTATAAGGAAGAAGCTATCTGTGTGTGACCAGGGACACTCCATTCTTTAAAATTATTCTTTGAAAAATGTGGACCCAACAACTCTCAGCCTCTGTTTCACCTTCCTCTTCTGAACAGCATGGCTCTGGTGTCCACCTTGATCTTGGTGCTCAGGCAAAAGCCTGCCTCTGCCAGGCATGGATCCGTGATGCCCATGGGGTTGCAATGACCCCCTTGCCAGGGTTCTTCCTGCCTCTTTTGCTCTTCTGCCTGCCTGTTTGCTGAGCATTTGGAATCCAAGGAGGTCAGAGGTCAGCTGGCGAAGGCCATCTGTATGGGATCAGTGACTGTGTTTACACAGGAGGTTTTGCCAGGAAGGTGTCTGGCCCAAGAGAGATGGGCAGCAGCAGACTCCCCCAGACCAGCCATCCGGTTGAGGTGGGAACATGCTGCCACGTCAATCAGTCTGCCTGCCTCTCTGTCTGTCTGCATTTGGTCAGGCCATAAATTGCAAGTGAGACAGTGGGAGGGATAGCAGCCTCACAGAGACTGATTTTATGGTCAGTCTTGCTCTGCTCAAGAGCTCAATGGGATGCTACTTTTCCCCCAAAACAGCCTTGCAGCCATCTTTGATCTCTCGTCAAGACTGACTGGGCAGTTTCTTCATCAGCACTATGTCCTTCATACCTTCCATTCTCTCCACTGCTACATGTCTGCTATGGTCAAGAAAGGATGGTGTATCCCATCCATGTTTCCAGGCAGAGCAATCCTATGCGTAATCCTAGTTAGTAGAACAAAGTTTATGGAAATGTGCCTGGCAGATAAGCTGCCTTGGTGTATTCTCCTGGCCTGTCAAGTCAAATGAAGATTACAAGCAGACTTCTGATGAGAAAACACGGATTGCTGGCTTCACCCTGCTCATCTGAACCAGTCATGAAAGATGTAACTTCCAAATTTGGCTAAACCTGGAAGCATCTGCAACAGTTCTAAGTAGAAGTGGACTCAGACCGTTCATTCATTCATTCATTCATTCATTCATTCATTCATCCATCCATCCATCCATCCATCCATCCATCCATCCATCCATCCATCCATCCATCAAACTTGTATGCCCCCTGACTCCCAACACCTCTGGGCAGCTCACAACAACTAAGACAAATAAATACAATTAATAACAAGTATAAATAAATAAGGCGGGAATGACAAACTGGACAGGGACGAGGCAAAGGGGTTTCACTGTCCCTCGCCAAAGGCCTGGAGAACATCCAGATGTGTTAGTCTATTGCAGCAAAAGCATTAGAGAGTTTGGGAGAAACTTCAACACATAAAAATATTAGGGCATAAGCATTTATAGGCAATATTCTATTATATCAGATACATGGAGTCTTACCTGAGAGAAGAGTAAGATAGTTATATAAACCTATGATTTGGCGGTGGTGGTGATGATGGAGATATTTTAAAAGGAGAGGTTAAAAGATAATTACACATTGGATACAGAGTGTGGTAAGTACCTAAATACAGTTCCTATTCACAAAACAAGTGATGTGACACAGACATTCCTGCATTGTACATTAATATCCCTGCTGAATTTATGAAATGGATTGGGTTAGAAATCAAATCAGTCCATAAAATAAATAAGTCTGATTCATATATAAAAAGAAGAGGGATGGGATGCAAAATATGTGCTAGATTGCTAGCCAGTCCTTTAGTCAACTAAACCCAACACTCTACATCAGTGCTTCCCAAACTTTTTCCTTCATCACCCAAAACCCTAACTTCAAACGGTCGTTGAATGAATGGTTGTAACTTGAGGACTACCTGTATTGTAAAAACAATATAATTGAATGATCTTTATGTTATTTTAACAAATTACTATTGGTAATTTCATTGATTTTGGTCTTAATAGGAATACTTTGGGAGATTTTTTAATATATTTTAGCACACATGGC